GTATGATCCTATTGGAAGAGGCTAGATTATTTTTTCCCCTCCTTCTACAGCCCCACACAGTCTCTTGTATTACTCTAAGGTAGGCTTCCTGGCATTTGATGAAATGAAGCATAATTTTTAAGAACACAAGCAGCTGGGTTAAAATGATGCTCAGGACCAGCATTGTGGCATAGTAGGTTAAGCCTCTACCCTGCAATTCTGGCATCCCATATGATTTGAGTCACAGCAGCCCCACTTCCAATTCAGCTCCCTGCTAATGTACCTGGGAAACCAGCAGAAGATGGCCCAAGTGCTTGGGCTCCTGTACCCATGTGGGAGACCTGGAAGAAACTCTGGGCTCATGGCTTTGGCCTGGCCTAGCTCTGGCTGTTGTGGCCCCCTGGGGAGTGAATGAGCAGATGGAAGATTGTCTGTCTGTCTGTCTCTCTCTCTCCTCCTCCTCTTTCTATAACTCTGCCTTTCAAATAAATAATTTTTTTTTTTTTTGACAGGCAGAGTGGACAGTGAGAGAGAAAGACAGAGAGAAAGGTCTTCCTTTTTGCTGTTGGTTCACCCTCCAATGGCCACCGCGGCCGGCGCACCACGCTGATCCGATGGCAGGAGCCAGGAGCCAGGTGCTTTTCCTGGTCTCCCATGGGGTGCAGGGCCCAAGCACCTGGGCCATCCTCCACTGCACTCCCTGGCCACAGCAGAAAGCTGGCCTGGAAGAGGGGCAACCGGGACAGAATCCGGCGCCCCGACCGGGACTAGAACCCGGTGTGCCAGCGCCGCTAGGCGGAGGATTAGCCTAGTGAGCCGCGGCGCCGGCCTCAAATAAATAAATATTTTTTAAAAAAATTACACTCAATCATTTTCCCTGGGATAACAGTTACCTAATTGCATAAACACTTATGCTCCCCTTCTTTTCTAAAATGAGGAAATAATAATCTCTACTTTATAATGCTCTTCTCAGGACTAATTTAGGGAATATGTATAAAGCACTTAGCATAGTATGTGGTATATGGTGCACACTTCATGCAAGCTATTGTTTTCATTATTAAGGCATAATTGGTAAGGTTGTCATTCAGGGTATTCTATGTCATAAATTATTTACTTGGGAAACATGTCCTATTAAAATCTAGTGGTTGAGATTAACAGTACATTTTATAAAGCCTCCAACTGTATATACTGTTTTGGCTCTACACAAAAGTACTCAGAAGATTCCACTGTCTTTTCTAGAATGACATCACACAACTGATTTATAATGGATTTATTCTCTATAAATACCCCCTAAATCACATTGTGTTTCTGCACATATAATAGTCTCTTTAATCTTTCATATCCTGAAAAACTGCCCATCTAGGCTCATAGAAAGTTAACCATAAATGGTAACCATTGGTAGTTCAGCTAGGGTCAGGGAACATAGTAGTAGCAAGCTGTCTGACATCTTATGACCCAAGTCCTGTTAGAATCTACAGAAATTTTCAGGTAAGTCTTGTTACTTTAATATACCCTGGCATACTTTTGGAAAATAAAAACAAAATTAAGAAGATAGAAAAAAATACACTAAAAAGTGATTTTGTCCTACGTAAAATAAATCTGAGTCTTAAAAAAAGAAACAAAATACAAAGGACAGTATACCCACAGATACGGTTAATCACTTACCTAATCATATCTATCACCTTCTAACTTACCTAGACATTGTTCATTAGCATAGCATGAGAGACCAAAGATATTGAAAATAAGTGGTGAAAGGATTGGCTTATGGCAAAATACAAATTATCTATAAATTTACATCTAAAGATCAGATGATGACCCAATCCCACAACAGCACAAGGATGTAAACCTATTCATCTCTACTCCTAGCTTCATGCATTCCAATTTTAGGTTCAGTTACAGTACTGAGGCAGAGTAATCATTCTGGTGGCTTACCACAGCTTTTCCAGAATGAGGTCATATACTCAGCCCTAAATATGAACAGAACTTCAGGTATTACAAGTTGGTTTTTCTTAGGAGGGGTTCATGTGTCTTAATTCTCTGATCCAAGTACTAACCAGGCCAGACCCTGCTTAGCTTCCGACATCAGATGAGATCAGGTGTGTTCAGGGTGGTATGGCCATGGATTCATGTGTCTTTGTTTTTTTTTTAAACAAATGAGGGTTGATTTTATTCATGCACCTAGAGGGGAAGTTAGGTAAAGGGAACCAGAGTGAAACTGTAGAAGCACAGTTTTTGTATTTTTTTTTAATCTTTGAGAAAAAATTTTACTATTAACTCTCATAATGCAACTCTTTGAGGTTCTGCACAGGAAGTTAGTACACAGTGACTCCTGTTGTTAATTTAACAATTAACACTTATATATGACGTCAGTGATCACCTGAGGCTCTTGACATGCGCTGCCTAGGCTATGGAAGCCTTTTGGACTCACATGTCTTAATTCTATCATCTCCTTTAATCACCTGCATATGCCTTTTTTGCCAAACACTGATTAAATTCTGAGTCAATTATAGTGCAGCTTGGATTGCTTGGGTTGTGCTGGATTCAAAGTAATTTCATTTAGATACTTGGTTCTCCATCTGCATCAAAATTTTAGATATAGAAAAAACTGTGAACATTGAGATAGGTTAGAAGTTTCTAGCTCAAAGCTTTTGATTGGTTTTGTCCCCTAATTTTAAACAATTGGATTTACTTTGATTTCTAGTGAAGAATTTCTACTCATTATTGCTAAACAACAATTAATATTTGGAGGTCTATAATGGTTAAGGAGACCAAGCTTAGTTTCTTCAGGCCACAGATGTTTACCACTGCATTTATAATAACTACTGCCAAATATCATTGAGTATTTATTTTCTGGACACTAACACACAATTAAGGTTAAGAAACTTGTTAAGGCTGGCGCCGCGGCTCACTAGGCTAATCCTCCGCCTAGCGGCGCCGGCACACCGGGTTCTAGTCCCGGTCGGGGCGCCGGATTCTGTCCCGGTTGCCCCTCTTCCAGGCCAGCTCTCTGCTGTGGCCAGGGAGTGCAGTGGAGGATGGCCCAGGTGCTTGGGCCCTGCACCCCATGGGAGACCAGGAAAAGCACCTGGCTCCTGGCTCCTGCCATCGGATCAGCGCGGTGCGCCGGCCGCAGCGCGCGGGCCGCGGCGGCCATTGGAGGGTGAACCAACGGCAAAGGAAGACCTTTCTCTCTGTCTGTCTCTCTCACCCCCCCATTGTCCCCTTTTGGCCTTGTTAAAAAAAAAAAAAAAAAACCCCCCCCCCTAAGGAAAAACTTTCGGAAAAACATTTTCTCCCTGGAATTTCTGATTCCAAAGCCATGCAGTTTACACTAAGTAACACAATCTTCCTGGTAGCAAAGATGCCATCTGTGTGGTCTGGATATCTCCTCTAACATCAATAAACCCAAAACTAGATTAAAACATTTGTAAAGTTTATTTATCTATGATCTTACCTATTTATTGATTAATTGATTGAAATAGAATAACATTTACTTGCCTCTATCTTCTCTAAGTCAGAAACTAAGATAGGACAAAACACCTGGTATCTACATAAAGTTAAAAAACAAAACAAGCATTTGGGTGAGCATTTGACTCAGTAGTTAAGATGCCTGTATCCTACATCAGAGTTCCTGGGTTTGAGTCTCTGCTCCACTTCCAATCCAGGTTCCTGATAACGCATACCCTGGGAGATGGCAGGTAATGACCTACATTCAAGGGTCTCTGTCAGCCACATAGGTGACCTGGGAGAAGTTCTGGGCTCCCAGCTTCAGCTTGGTCCAACCCTAGATGTTGTGGGCATTTGGGGAGAGAACCAGTGGATGGAAGATATTACTCTTTCTCTTGTTCTACCTTTCAAATGGAAACAAAATATTTGGAGTTATACAAATGTTGATTATAAATTTTAGCAAACAATTTTTTAAATAAAAAATGTAGTTACTGTGCTCGCCTCAGCAGCACATATACAAAATGAGTTCCTGAACTATAAAAACCAAAAAATTAATGTTAATTAGTTTTACCACTTAAGTGGTAAAGTATTTTTTCTGATGTTTTTCATGTGAGACATATTTTTAAGGTTCTTTTGAATTTCTTTGTTAAAAATTATTTCTTCATAACAACTACTCTTCACTGCTCAGATGTCATAATTTCATGATTATTTTTATAATATTCATATTTATTCTCATTTTTCTGCTAATACCAAGGAAAAAACACACGCTTTACAATCAAAGATTACTAACTTGGAGTTCCACCTCTATTCACTTAAATACTCTTTTAGTTTTCTTGTCAGAAAAAAGCATTGCATTAAAAAAAAAGGAAACTATTGTTTTGAAAATTGTAACAATAAACTTTATCTTCCTTAGCTACTGACTCTACTTGAAGTCTAGAACATTAATAATTCATGTTTGTTAAAAATGCAAATCTGACCACAATCATTTTTTAATGGATACCTAAATTAAGGAGGCTGTACAGCCTGTGTTTGATTCTGTTCTGGTCCCTACAACAACATCAAAGGTCAAAGACTGAATAATATTAAGACCAAAGGACCTTCCTTTCTACTCATCAATTCTGAGAGGTAATATTGCTCATCTGAGGCTACTCTTCGGTGAAGTTTTCATGATCATTACAGTTGTTCCTAATTATATAAAATATTTTACTGTATTATAGAGAATTTTTATAAAAATCTCACTATTTTTGGTTTTTAAGTTTTTTATTAATTATCTTTTGAAGCCTCCTTATTTTCTAACAGGTCTGATGATACTACTCAGGTTTAAAATAGAAAAGGAACACTATCTAAATTTTATAGAACATTTTAAAACCTTTCAGAAATGTCTTAGGAATTCCTACTGCATATCTCATGAAGCCTCTCCGGTTTTAACAATTGCTTAGGAGAAATTTGTCTTCATTCACTGTGAGGGAACAGTATTTTCATCATAACAAGTAAAAATATAGTTTTGAGACAAAATGGGCTGTCTAGAAAATTATGGAGATATGTTTGTTCATAAAAAGGATTTTCACCTTCACCTGGCAAGTGATGTACTTGATTCCTCTGTCTCACAGCTGGTATTTCATTCCTATAAAAGCCTGGTGCTGCCTCAGGAGTTCTGGTAGCAAGTCCTAAAGGAAGGGAATACAAAACTATTGGCATGCAATTTCTTAGCTCAAGTGAAGCAAGAATTTTTACCTTAAAGCTGATTTTCATGACAACTATTTGAAAAAGTTTTGTGTGTTTATCTGTAATAAAGATAGGTAACAGCCCAACAGATAATCATTTGGTGGGAAGAAGCTTCTTGGAGGATTTTGTGGGATTCTAAGCCCATAGAATTATTCAGAAGAAGCATTCAAGCCAGGAAATGAGATCTAACTCCAACCGAAACCTGAGAAAAATAGAGTGGGTACTCCTTTTCAGTATTCTGTGCTACTAAATGCTATGTTATTTTAATAAAGATATGTTTAGGCCGGCGCAGTGGCTCACTAGGCTAATCCTTCGCCTTGCAGCGCCGGCACACAAGGTTCTAGTCCCAGTCAGGGAGCTGGATTCTGTCCCGGTTGCCCCTCTTCCAGGCCAGCTCTCTGCTGTGGCCAGGAAGTGCAGTGGAGGATGGCCCAAGTTCTCGGGCCCTGCACCCCATGGGAGACCAGGATAAGTACCTGGCTCCTGCCATTGGATCAGCACGGTGCGCCGGCCACAGCGCGCAGGCCGCGGCGGCCATTGGAGGGTGAACCAACAGCAAAGGAGGACCTTTCTCTCTGTCTCTCTCTCTCACTGTCCACTCTGCCTGTCAAAAAAAAAAAAAAAAAGATATGTTTAATAAAGATAAATATTTGTCTCACCCTATGCTTCACTTGAACTTGATAGCATGATAAATCTACTATAGATTGTGTACACTGAGAATTATGATGATGGATGGCTATAAAAGTAAAAGTAGTGTTAAGACCTGCAACCAACTAGTTTAGAAATAAAATGTTCACTTAAGGATTAGAAAAAAAGGCACATTTTCAAGTAGACATTTTAGAAAAATGCACACTTTCTGGGATGACATAACTCTATAGATGTAGACTTAGTGAGTTCTGTAGGCTTGTAGTTCTGCTCCTAGTAACTGGACAATGTCAGCAATTACTCATCATCTTTGGAGGTGAGACCACACAGTACACAAACTGCATGACCTTACCTGGTGAGTGGGAAAGCATTGTGCGTCCTTAAAATAATATAATAATAAATAATTTATATGATTCTTAGCTTAATGTTTGTTTCCATAGATAGACTCTAAATTTTATTAATGATGGAGTATGTTTACGTTTTTCAGCAGTCTATCCCTAGTGGATAAGATAATTTCTAACTGTAGAAAATGAGGTTATCTGTTGATTAATTGAAAATTAATCTTGTTGTGAACGGAAGGGGAGAGGGAGTGGGAGAGGGGAGTGTTGTGGGTGGGAGGGAAGTTATGGGGGGGAAAGCTATTGTAATCCATAAGCTGTACTTTGGAAATTTATGTTCATTAAATAAAAAAAAGAGATTATCTGTTGATGAATTGATCATATAAAAAATACAAAAGCACTATATTATCCTGGCAGTGGGCATGTCAGCGTTGGATTCTTTCAGTTCCCAATCCATATTGTATTCTCTTTCATATGCTCAAGGAAATATTCAATAGTCTGAATATTTACTCTACATCGCCTGTACTTTAATGGGAGTAGAAAATTGAGATCCACATAGAAAAATTAAAGCTGTATGATTTTTGGCTCCCGAACACACTACTTCTTGACTTCTCTTATTCAGAAATTCTTCCATCAATGTTTTCCCCTGATTTTAGCAAATTTAAAGGAGTGAGAGTCTAAGATCTCAAAATAGATAATATTGGGGAGGTAACTACTATGAAATATTTTCTAGAAGTTTTATAGGAAAATGGTTCTCAAGTGGTCCAGAGATAACAAGCATTAGAAACAACTGTGATTTTGCTAGAAATGCATTCAGGTCTACCCAAGACCTACTGACTGTGGCGCATAGCCATATTGGTTTTAACAAACCCTTCTGATTCTCATACAGGCTTCAGTTTGAAAACAGCTCACTAAGGAAAAAAATGGAAGAAAGAGAAGGCAAGAATAGCATTACTGTTAAATTATATATATACATTAAAAAGGGGGGGTAATACTGAGATACACAAATAACAATTGCTATTGTTGGTACTGAAGTTATAGATGAATCTTGTGGTTGACAACTTCTACCCCAAGTAACACAGTATAAAGAGCACAGAAAATCCTTTGAGTTTGCCTTGGGGTAAAAAAACATAGTGTTGATGGTATTTCAAGATGTTTTTCAACATTAATAAAAGTAAAAATTGTAAGTAGAGGGCTAAAGATGATGTTACCAAAAACAATTACTAAAATTTATTATGAAGTATTGAAAGCCATATGCCTGATACTGGGAACAAGGAAGTTATTCATTAATACCACAACTATTCAACATTATATTGAATGTCCTAGCCAATTTCTTTCATAGAAGGAAGAAACAGAACTGTTATTTTCACTGGAGACATAATTGGTTAATCCAGAAGCATTTGCAAACTATTTTGTAAGTAATATAATTTGTTTACTAGATACAAAACCAATATACAAAAATTTAACTATTTTTATTTTTATATTCTAGCTACAATTAGAAAAACAAATAAAGTAACATTTACAATATAAAAAATCAAATACAAAGGAATCAATCTAATGAAAGATTTGTAAGGCCTCTACAAAGAAAACTAAACAAGCTTCTCAGAGAAAATAAAGAAGATAGCACATAAATATAGAGATATAGACTGAAAAACTCAGTATTTCTGAATATGCTAATTATGCCCAGTTATCTATAGATTCAAAGAAACTGCAACCCAGATTTAAGCATCTTTTTGTGTGAACTGATGGATTCTTTCTGAAAGTCCTATGGAAATACAAAGAATCTAGAATAAGTATCAAAATCTTGAAAAGGACCATAAACAAAAAGTTGGACGATCTACACTCTCAGAGAGCAATACAAGAAAGCTACAGCAATGAAACCAATTCGGGATTGAAAAATGATAAATATGCCAAGAGAATGGAAAATGAAATCTACAGATGCACACATATACATACAAAGTGAAGTCCACAACTTTGTAGCAAATTCCATTTTAGTGCAATAAGGGAAATGCTAATTTCCCCGTAAGTAGCATTTATCAACTGTATACCTAATTGATATAAATGAACCTTGACTCCTTTCTCATATTATTCACAGAAATAAATTCCACAAGGAATCTCAACTTAAATGTGAAGGATAAAACAATAAGGCTTCTTTCTAGTTGATAATATGGAAAAGTAGCTTTATGATTTTTAAGTGAAAAAATATTTTCCTTAAAAAACACAAATAAAGCATTAATAAAAGAATAAATCGAAAAATTACATCAGCATCAGAAATTTCTGCATATACATGCTAGATAGCAGAATTTCTTTGTTGGATACAAAGATGAATGAAACAAAATATAGAACTCAGAAATTAATCCATGTACATATACCCAACTAATTATTTCAAACAAAGTCACCAAGAGTAACACTGGAGATAGTCTTTTCTTTCCTTTTTTTTTTTTTTTTTTGAGGCTATCCAGAGCTTTATTTTGTAATGCAGAGGCCATACCATGGCCCCAACCCCACATCCCACCCTGCACTTCTTAAATGTTTATCACTCTAGGACACCCTTTATGACATTTTGAAGATCATTGAACTAGAAAATTATACCCTTATTTCTCTTAAACAGGTCAATAGCATTACTTACAGAATTCATTTTACAGAGATAGGAAAGGATAATCTTTTCAATAAATGTTGCTGGCATGGTGAAGGGACTGGGAGTCAAAGGGAGCACATAGACAAGTCTAGTACCTGCTAACGCTAACTGATGGAGTAAATAAAGGGGAGAGTGATCCAACATGGGAAGTGAGATACTCAGCAGACTCATAGAATGTCAGATGTCCTAAACAGCACTCTGGCCTCAGAATCAGCCCTTAAGGCAGTCAGATCTGGCTGAAGAGCCCGTGAGAGTATTTTAGGCATGGAAACCCAGACACTCTGGGGAAAAGAAAAAAAAAAAAAAAGGAGAAGACCTAAATGAAAGAGCTGGCTGAAAAGCTCATGAGAGTATTTCAGGCATGGAAAGCCAAGACACTCTGGCAAAAGATCTCTGCGAGTGAGATCCCAGTGGAAAGAACAGGTCTTCAAAGAGGGAGGTACCTTTCTCTGAATGGAGGAGAGAACCTCCACTTTGACTATGACCTTGTCTAAACAAGATAAGAGTCGGAGAACTCAGAGGGCTTCCATAGCCTTGGAAACTCATGACTGGAGCATAGGGAGATTACTGATGCCATAGACAGGAGTGTCAATTGGTAAAGTCAACAACAGGAGTCACTGTGCACTTACTCCTCATGTAGGATCTCTATCCTTAATGTGCTGTACATTGAGATTTAATGCTATAACGAGTACTCAAACAATATATTTCACTTTGTGTTTCTATGGGGGTGCAAACTGTTGAAATCCTTACTTAATGCATACTAAACTGATCCTCTGTAAAAAAAAAAAAAAAAAAAAAAAAGAAATTATCAATTCCCAACTTGACTCTCACTGGGATTAAACATGACAATAGGTCTGCTCTGATTTCATCATCATTTAAAAAAATCATCTATTATTTTTCACTTTATGTTTCTGTGTGGGAGCAAACTGTTGAAATCCATACTTAATGTATACTAAGCTGATCTTCTGTATATTAAGATAATCGAAAATGAATCTTGATGTGAATGGAAGGGGAGAGGGAGTGGGAAAGGGGAGGGTTGTGGGTGGGAGGGACGGTATGGGGGGGGAAGCCATTGTAATCCATAAGCCGTACTTTGGAAATTTATATGCATTAAATAAAAGTTAAAAAAAAATAAATGTTGCTGGCAAAACTGGATATATCTTATATCTTCACTTCTCAACATATGCAAAAATCAACTCAAGGTGGATCAAAGACCCTTTTTTTTTTTTTTTTTGACAGGCATAGTGGACAGTAAGAGAGAGAGACAGAGACAGAGAGAAAGGTCTTCCTTTTCTGTTGGTTCAACCCCCCCCCCCCCAAT